GCAACTTCTTTTTCATCATTAAGGGTGGCAGTTAAGATTGTTTATATTTCCTTCTATCATGGTAGATGATTTGAGAAATTAACTAAGAAACTTTCCCCACTTATACATGTTTTCGAAGAAACGATTACCATTGCCTTTCTCACCTAATCAGTGTTGCCAATGACCCGATAATTATCGAATTCTACCATAATTTTAACTACGATTCAATAATCGATAATGACCACCATAATTTATTGAAACTACAATTTTAATATAGTTTTTTCAAATTTCTAGTTAAAAATAAAATTTATTAAAAAACTGAAGGTAGTTGTTGGTTTGGAGTGTTTTGACGTACTGGTACGAGCACCAAACACTAGTCCCAGATTGAGCCAAGCCAAACCAAAATCAAATTCCCATGCGAATTTTTAAATTTCTGGATTTTGCAATATTTGACTTCAATAATCAAAAGAGGAGATCAAAATTAGTGGAAGAGCATTTTTTTAACTTTGTTTTTTGAGATTTTTGCAATTTTTGGGCTCAAAGAAGTTCAATAATCTGACATTCTTTCATAAAGTTGCTGATTACTCGGTTATTATTGTAACAAATACAATGTGAAGTTATATATTCTGAATCAGAATTAAATTATCTTCAAGATAAAATAAGACTCAATTCTATATCTTGAATGCTTCTGAAGATATTGAGGCTCAAAGTTGAAGCTTTACCTGAAATTTTCCAAAAGCTTCCAGGCGGATTATCTTGAAAACGAAGCCCTTGGACTCGGTGTCTTAAATAACCTTTTTTGTAGCCCTTGTTAAAAGCTACAATTGAGCAAAAGATTCATGCTAATAGCTTCACTGGTTTCCAAAATATGGCCCTTTGAATGGTATTTGAAAATCAAATTTCCATGCATACCCCTTTGGAAAAATTCGAATTTTAAAATTTTATGGATTTTGCAATTTTTGACTTCACCAATCGAAAGAAGAGGTTAAAATTAGTAGAAAAGCATTTTCGGAACTTTCCTTTTTGAGTTTTAAAGCCTTGTTAAAAAATAAAAACGATTTTTGCAATTTTTGGGCTCAAAAAATTTCAATAATCTGACATTCTTTCAAAAAATTGCTGATTCCTCGGTTATTATTGCAACAAATATAATGTAAAATTATATATTCTGAATCAGAATTAAATTATATTCAAGATAAAATAAGATTCAATTCTATATCTCAAATACTTGTGAAGATATTGAGGCTCAAAGTTGAAACTTTACCTGAAATTTTCCAAAAGCTTCCAGGTGGATTATCTTGAAAACGAAGCCCTTGGACTTGGTGTCTTAAATAACCTTTTTTGTACCCCTTGTTAAAAACTACAATTGAGCAAAAGATTCATGCTAATAGCTTCAATGATTTCCAAAATATGGCCCTTTGAATGGTATTTGAAAATCAAATTTCCATGCATACCCCTTTGGAAAAATTCGAATTTTAAAATTTTATAAATTTTGCAATTTTTGACTTCACCAATCGAAAGAAGAGGTTAAAATTAGTAGAAAAGCATTTTCGGAACTTTCCTTTTTGAGTTTTAAAGCCTTGTTAAAAAATAAAAACGATTTTTGCAATTTTTGGGCTCAAAAAATTTCAATAATCTGACATTCTTTCAGGAAATTGCTGATTCCTCGGTTATTATTGTAATAAATATAATGTTAAATTATATATTCTGAAACAGAATTAAATTATCTTCAAGATAAAATAAGATTCAATTCTATATCTCAAATACTTGTGAAGATATTGAGGCTCAAAGTTGAAACTTTACCTGAAATTTTCCAAAAGCTTCCAGGCGGATTATCTTGAAAACGAAGCCCTTGGACTCGGTGTCTTAAATAACCTTTTTTGTAGCCCTTGTTAAAAGCTACAATTGAGCAAAAGATTCATGCTAATAGCTTCACTGGTTTCCAAAATATGGCCCTTTGAATGGTATTTGAAAATCAAATTTCCATGCATACCCCTTTGGAAAAATTCGAATTTTAAAATTTTATGGATTTTGCAATTTTTGACTTCACCAATCGAAATAAGAGGTTAAAATTAGTAGAAAAGCATTTTCGCAACTTTCCTTTTTGAGTTTTAAAGCCTTGTTAAAAAATAAAAACGATTTTTGCAATTTTTAGGCTTAAAAAATTTCAATAATCTGACATTCTTTCACAAAATTGCTGATTCCTCGGTTATTATTGTAACAAATAAATGTTAAATTATATATTCTGAACCAGAATTAAATTATCTTCAAGATAAAGTAAGATTCAATTCTATACCTAAAATACTTCTGAAGATATTGAGGCTCAAAGTTGAAGCTTTACCTCAAATTTTGCAAAAGCTTTCAGGCGGATTATCTTGAAATCGAAGCCCTTGGGCTCGGAGTCTTAAATAACCTTTTTTGTAGCCCTTATTAAGAGCTACAATTGGGCAACAGATTTATGCCAATAGCTTGACTGGTTTCCAAAATATGGCCCTTTGAATTATTTGAAAATCAATTTTCCATGCATACATACCCCTTTGGAAAAGTTCGAATTTGTAAATTTTTGGATTTTGCAATTTTTGACTTTACTAATCAAAAGAGGAGGTGAAAATTAGTGGAAAAGCATTTACGCAACTTTGTTTTCAGGGTTTTAAGGCTTGTAAAAAAATAAAAACGATATTTGCAATTTTTGGGCTCAAAAAATTTGAATAATCTGATATTCTTTCACAAAATTCCTGATTACTCGGTTATTATTATAACAAATATGATGTAAAATTATTTATTCTATCGCGAATGGTAAATTATCATTTTATCGACCCAAAACTCATTGTCAAAGTAACACTTTATCGAAAATAGTGAAATCGAACAATTTTTACCCACTCATATGTCAATTTTACCCACTCATATGTCAATTTTACCCACTCATACGTCAATTTAATCCACTCAATACTTGATGATCAAACATTTCAAAACTAATTAAAATAAAACGTACCTACTTTGCTTATCTCAGTAAATTTACAAAATATCAGGTACCTTCACAAAAAGATAGGTGTCATCCGAAGCTTCTCAAAACACGAAGAATATCTTCTCGTTCAAATACCTTTACAATAATTATTATACAGTGGCCGAGTTCATTTTGGTCACCTTTTTCGTCGATTTGCTCCGAAATTTTGACAGGCACGTGATTGGGTAAGACAGTTTCAATTTACAAATCACGTGCCTGTCAAAATTTCGGAGCAAATAAACGAAAAACATGACAAATACGAACTCGGCCAGTGTTGGGGACACAAATTTGTTAAGTTATGTTGTATGATTGACAACACCAGGAATGTGTCAGTTTGTTTCTTCGATTGTAACGTCATTTTTGGTTTGGTTTTCGCGCTACCAAACCGAAAATGACGTCACAATCGAAGAAATTCTACCGAATCGAACGGTTCGTTTCTTACAGAATAGGGCCCCACAGGCATATACATTGCCGACCTGAAAAAATGCAAAAGTACAGAAATGTGACAATTTCAAGATTTTAAAAAGTCTGTAATGTCAACATTACATATACGGTTGAAAATAAAATAAGATTCAATTCTATATCTTAAATACTTTTGAAGATATTGAGGCTCAAAGTTAAAACTTTGTCTCAAATTTTGCAAAAGCTTCAAAGCCGATTATCTTGAAAACGAAGCCCTTCCTTGGGCTCAAAGTCTTGTATAACCTTTTTTGAAGCTCTTATTGAGAGCTACAATTGCCAGAGTCCCAGCTAGAACCCGAAAAATGAAAATGGAGATAAAAAGTCAAAAAACTTGACAGAAACTTTTACTGATAATTTTTCTTGGAATCTGATAATTTTCTTCTCAAATCCAGATAATTTTAAATTTGACATCTGACAACACTGCACCTAATACATTGCCAGTGGACTTCCTGTAAAGTTATCCAAAAACCTGATCGGTTTCAAAAAGAAAAACTCCTTTCTTGGTTCCACTCCATTCTTATATGATTTGACAAGCCGTCTTCTCGTGTCTGCGAGATTGATTTTAATAAGAACATGAAGTAAAAGCGGGAAATAAGCCGATATATCCACGAGCGAGGAGATGGTTCGCGCCCCCTTAACTCCAACGTTCCACCCCCTTTTTTTTCTTCTTCTTCTGCCGGCTCTGATCAAATCCATTGGAATGTCAAAAAATAATTGGTTTGCTGAGATGCGAGAGGATTTAATGTTGCCCATAACTTTTATATTTTTGATTGAATATGTGATGTTAGATTGAATAAAATTTACACACTTAAGTAGTGATAATAAATTTTTCGTTTTGACTCTTTTTTCCTCAATAAATTTCCGTTTTATTGCCTATCGGCACGATAATCATCTTTATGGTTTGGGTAACACCATCGTATGTGTATATATAATAATGTCTGTTAATTTTGGAATAAATAACCCATTTAAAAACATGCGTGTATTGGAACAAAACGAACTTTCATGGGTGGCTTTCGGAAAAAATATTAAACCTAATCTCCAGGAAATTGCTTTGTGATGGAGGAGGAGGGTAAGAAATGAAGGCAAACAAACTCTCGAAAGTTATTTTTAATTTTCCTTAAAATTTTCCCCCCCGTGTTGTGTATGTTTTACTTGAAGCACAAATATATACGCGATTTTCCGAAACTTTTAATTTTGAAGTTGCCTTATTCGCAACACAATATAATGGCCTCGTTTACTTTATTGCTCTCGTCTAAGATGCCGACGGAAATTTTCCGCCGAAAACTTCGAAACAACCGGAACAAACTAAAAACTTTTGATTTTGCGACATACGGTCAACAAGAACTTTTATTTAGAGCAATTCCAGATAAGCTTTACTCTGAATTTAGACTCTATTACCAAAAATTGACAGCCGCATGGTTTTCATACTTTGGTTTCGCTGCTTCATAGAAAAAGCTGAAATTACGAAATACATCTTATCTAGGACTATATGAGAAGACATTCAAAAAAGTTATGAGCCATGGAAAGGAAAGAGCAATATGAACAACTCTAAAATCACATGTCAAAAGATGTAGACTATCAGAAAAACCAAAGAAAATGGTTTAAAGATGTAGCAACAAGAAGTGGAAGAAAAGTAAAGCCTCCCAATAATTTAGTTTTCATCAGTTTTCTTCTAAAGAATCAGCACATGATAATAAAATGGGGAAAATGTAAGTCCCACAAACTGATAAAATTGATTTGATGTTTAATTAAAAAAGGAAAAACTCTCGAAAACGCCGGACAGTTTTTCGTTATTATGGTAATTGGAGACGAGCCCCGCGCGGACGTAAGCAATCAAGGGCGCTGAGCTTGAAGAGAATATCAAAGGAGAAATTAGTTTTTTTTTTGATTGAGGTAGGTCGAGGTTTATGAGGGAAATTTACGTCGACGGGGTCAGTGATGTGGTATTTTCTAGGTCTCCACGATTTGTTTGTGAGAATTTTGTTAACTTGTTATCAAAAGCTTAAGCTTAGGTTTCTTATGCCATCTTCATACACTCCATAAATGACAATAAAAAAGTATCAATATGATATTTTTTCAAAGTCTCTACTTCGTTTTTATATCGATATTAATATCCAATAATATCGATACTTTTAATACTGATAACTGTCACGGCTCTGGGGTGCGTGACAGAAATCTTGGGTCCGTTTATTCCAAAAATCAAAGTCCAATTACCACAACAATAATGGGCCCCCGAGATTTTAGTTTAAAGCCTCTACTGGTAGCACAGATGTCGAATTTTCGGCACCAGGTTTTAACGTCTTCATGATCCCATGAAGGTCTTGTTAACTCCAAAATGTGACCCTGAAGTTCCGTCATGTATGTCTCTTAATACATCTTCAATTCGATCTTTTGGAATAACCAGTTGGCTCTTCGTAGTTTTCTTATCGGCACTTTCCCAAACTCTTTCCAGAGGCCACAACGCTTTGTAAATCAAACTCTTATTCGACACTTCCCCCCATTCTGGCCTCTACATTTATCATTTTCTTCAAGATGTAGAATTTGACCGATGTCTGTCTCTTGATCTTCTCTCATTTGTTTGGTAGTCCAATTTGGTATCATCAGCGATAAGACCCGTTCTCCTCACAGCTGGGCCAGTCTTTTTCTCATGCATATCGATTCTTTGACAATGCTTGTAATCTTGTTTACATGGCCGTCTAGGCAGCGCGTCAGCATTTTTATACAGGTCACTGTTTGCACTGACTTGAGGATAGGCCATCCTGTAGTAGTAATGTGTATCCTACTTGCTGGCAACCTACCTTTCTCAAACATCCTTGATCCTAAACTATGTCGTCAGCTGTTTACGCCAGAGGTCGTAGTTTAGAATATACATTTATAGCAAACATAATAGGCAAAGAGGGAGATGCAAACGAGATTTAAAAAAGCGTTGTTTTAGAATGCTAATTTATGTACTAAAACCAAAGGTACTTTCATTTCAAAGTTTCGAAACCCCAGGCTTCGACGCCCTGGGGCGCATCAGCGCACGCTCTGAAAAGAACGGTAATTAAGGATCAACAAAGGGATCAAAATCTATGTTCAAAAATCTAACCTCAAATTACAAAGTACACTTGGCCAAACATAAAACTGGTACAGATAATATATATTTTGTAAATTTGCCTAGTGTGAGTCAGGCTTAATAACACAAAGTCTGTTCTGAAAAACTTAGGTCAGACAGTTTTTGTCAACGTCAAAGCTGAACAAAAGTAAATGCAACATGTTTTTATGTTATGATTGGTTCAAATATGACACTGACTTGTCTGTTATTGTCATTGTTATATGACTGATAAGATATATAGCTGATTTGTAAATGTTTGCGACTATTTCTTTACAAATGTTATATTTCCTTTGTAAATTTTTGTTTTCCCCTCAATAAAAGTCGATTATTATTATTATTATTACCTATTTTTTTTTTTTTAGATTGGCCTTACTTACGGTCCCGCGACTCCGACACTTACACTAAACATGTAATGTTGCAAAATTTGTCAGCAATATTGTATCGACCTTACTTTAGAAAATGTATTAGGTAATGTGACGTTAAGCTTTCTAAAAAACTTATCCAATGTTTAGGGATAAAACTTCAATAGAGAAACATTCGTTTTAGTTATCAAGTAAATGTTGCAGTAGATACAATAATGTATTACATTTGAAACATTATAAAATGTAAGTAAAGCAAATATTATAATAATATTATGAAATGTAACTTTTCTCAACTCTATCGCTTGATTGTTGCGGAAATATTTACGTTGGTAACATTGAAAATATATAATAAAATAAATGGTTGCATAAATATTATAAGCTCAACTTTTCTTAAAACTGTCGCTGTAATGTTGCAGATACCTTTACATGCGTACGTTAACAGTTTCAAGAATGAAAAACGTTACTTAAATATTTCAATATCAACTTTGGAATAGGAAACATAAATTTTCTCAATGTTGCATAAAGCTTGCAGATAGATTTTATTTGCAATATGCTGTCTTTGTCTCTGTTATGCAAAAATATATTTGACTGACAATTGTTGTCTGTTGACCTGTTGACGCCACGCCACCAAAAGCCAGGACGCTAGGACTAAGGACGCAGACGACGCTTCTTTTTTCTTGGCTTGATAAATAAATACAAGAGAATTCAACAGGACGAAAGGGTTCATCAAGATCTTGAGATGTTGGGAGAGGAAGAGAATAAAGCCAATGTTGTAAGATTTTAATATTTTAAATTTTTGTGATATTTTAATACTGTTTAATTTTTATTTTTAGGTGGCTTTTTTACAATACCTATGTTGGAGGAATCGAGGCATGTGTGATAAGATCAATTGGAAATTGGAAGTTCATTAACTAACCATTGTGCTCGGTCTGTAGTTGGACTGGCAGAAAAGGGAATTTGAAAATAAAGGATCTTGCATTAATGCAAATCCTTACGATATATTAAATATCTATCATATATACAATATTTCATTATGTAAATTTCTGTAAAGTACCAATAAAAATATTGCAACTGTAATATTTATCTAACTTTATGAACAACGTTAAATGCAGGTTTCTGTAAGCTAACATTTTTAATGTTACAAACGTAATTTATTTTTAATGAAAATACAAGTTTGAGGCGATATTGCAGAAAAGTTTATTCTGTAAACATTGCATTTGTGAATATTAAAATAAGTCCGTTTCAGTAATTGCAGCAACCTTGCACTTATATAGCAGCAATAAAAAATGAAATATTACAATATTATCTAGAAACATTACTAAAATATTAGAGCGATATTACATTGTTTAGTGGGAAGTAGGTGTTCCATCCACCGTTCTACTCCCCACTAACCGCAAGGTTAGTAGAAACGGTGTTCCGCATCGTGTGCTCTGAGTAGACGCAATAATCCCAGGATTACCGCTTTCTGTATCGTGCCAGCAAGGTGTTCCGTAGGTGTAGGGCCACCTAACTACCTAAGAAATATAGGGACACATAATTTTCTGACACTAGTGACAGTTCGGACACTGAGCTTCGACGCCTCACTGAGGCGGGATAGACGACCCCGGGGCCCGGGGCTTGACGCCCCGATTAAAAAGAATGGTTATTTACATGTCAAAATCGTGATCCAGGACGCACTGCTCAAGTATGCAAGCAAAAGCCTACGGAATCATAACCTATGGTGCAAACATTCGGACGTCAAAGCGAGAAACGACACGCGCTAACCACGTCATCACTGGTTCTTTGGTTTTGCCAATCCGGTCCTGTTCCCACACTGTTAAAAAAATTATCTCCTATTTATATGCACACAGATTTACTTTACTGGGAATACTGAAAAATTAAAATATAATACAGGGTGTTTGGCGGAGGGTTAGCCAAACTTGGTGGATGTATAGATATTCCCAATTCGAAGATATGTAATCAATACACTAGTGCCCTCAAGATCCCTATTTTTTTTATATCATTGCTTTTGTATTATTCTTAAGAATTTTTAAAAATGGACCTTCTAACCTCTGTAATTTTCATCAAGCTCAAGGATACCCTACAGACCTATAGACATGGAAAAAAAGATTTCATAAACATTTCAAAAAAAAAGTTACAGAAGTTAAAATGTCCATTTTTGAAAATTCTTGAGAACAATACGAAATAAGCAATTAATGATCAGGAGAACTTTAGGCCACAAGTGTATTAATAAAATATCTTTGAAATGAGCCTATTTATACGCCCACCAAGTTTGGCTAACCCTCCGCCAAACACCCTGTATACTATATACATACTTAAAACTCTAGGGTGTCTAAGGGTACGTGCATAACGGAGTGTGATACAAACTTGTAACCTGGATGACAGATTATAGCTGAAATTATGAGCGCTTATAGGTGTGCACAACGGAGCTGTGATATAATATATCCTATTCACAATCCGATGTCCACAGGTACAGGTAAATTTATCACCTTTCCCTATCAAATAGCATTGAAAGGTGATAAATTTCACCTGTACCTGTGAACATCGGATTGTGAATGGATAATACTTACGTGGATTTATTCATCTCGCATTTCTGATCGCGAAGTCGGACAGTGATGACGATTATTTATGTTTGTCCGCTACAAATTGGTACCTATGTTCCGTGGCATTCATCCTCAAGAGAATACCATACCCACCTAATTAATCAAAAACGACTATAAATGCGGTAGATTATCATCACTCCTATTAGAAGTTGAAGAGATAGCTTGATGCTGATGATAATTTTCATCTACTCATTTACTTTCCAATACATTTGAAGTAAAATTAAAGACAAGACGATGACTGGGCATGCGCCACCCTTGTCAGCTAGTTTCTACTCGCTGAAATAATGGTGAAATTCATTATAGTACCAATGCTATAAGCGATCATCTCGGCTATGCTCACTGCTGATAGCTTGTACCCTAAAATGAATTAAGAATTAAACCTGCTTGATTCCTGAAGAATCAAGACTCGAAATACTGAAAATGTTGCAATATTGAAGATTCTACAGCGTCTGAAAGCAAAAGACCTATGATTAAAGCATTAGGATTGAAGATTTTGAAGAATTGTGACTCATGGCTCAATGCAAAGACTTGATACTGAGGATTAGGGAGTTACAAAATATCCAAAATAAGGTATAACATTGAATTTTCAGCAATAATTTAACTTTTTCTGAATCCAAATTTATCCAAAGTAGCTAAACATAAGTCAATAA